CGATACACCTCCCCATTGTAGATATCAAGAACAGGCACTCCCGGCATTTTCCTGGTACCTCGCATTCCGGACATAGGCCTACAAACACGAAACCCTCCGGGGCTCAAATCCCCATGGGAACCAGCATTGCGAGCATTTCTCATCATTGCTGTTGCACCTGAACGCAACCCTAGATTCTTTTCTGCTTCTGAATGGATTTCACTGATAGTCTTTGCTTTAACCTATCAGAATAGAGAATTTAAAAGAAAAAAAACACAAGTCAGAAACACAAGTTCCAACTATAATGTACCTCAATGCATTTTATGGTTAACCCCCCTTAAAACAGAAAGGAGAAATGACATGATATGTAGAATCACCTCTTCACGCCTGGGGACCCAGTTGTTAGACCGCAAATCAAGAACATCACGGACCATGAACCTCAGCCGTGGTGCAAGTTCAGTGTTTGTAGTCAGCTCCTTCAACCTACTAAAATAGCTATCATTGATTCTCCGAGATTTTTGGCTTTCATCCAGCTGCTTACCTATGGTGTTGAAAAATTGGCATATTGCCTCCACATTCTCCTCAGCAGGGCATGCTTTGCCATCATGTCCCAGAAGCTCCTGTGTTACACAAGAGTGCATAGTTAGTCCAGCAGTCAAACTCCTGTATAAAAAGACAACCCAGAAAAAGTGATTTAACACTAGCAAGGACCTGAACAATATGGTGGACAATCTTTTCAGGCACCATCTTTTGCTTTAAAAGTTCTCCAATAAGGCGTATGTTTCCTAGAGTTCGCAACTTAAGCATTCGTTCTTTATCTCTGCATTCCATTTCTTGCTCAGGAGCAGTCATCTGCCTAATTTCTGCCCTTAGGTTGTCAGCACCTTCAAAAGCTTCTTGACAATTATTCAATAGGACTCGTTTAAAAGTGATTTCTTTCCCACCAGGCTCCTCAGATGGGAAAGGAGGAAGCTTTGCATTAAGATCTGAGCATAAAAGGGCATACATAGGACAAAATGTTGGCTCCAGCACAGCCTTATCAAATATCAGAAAGATAACATCCTGCAATTCAAATTGAACCCTAAAGCTCTTTAGCCAGAAAGCAATAGCTCAGTATGCAGTTCAAAGTATTCAAGATATTTAGTGAATACAAACCTTTAAAATATCTGGAGTTGTGATTCCAGAATCAATAAGTTGACCCTTGAGAACATCAAACTTCTCCGGGGTCAATTTGTTCAATATACTGCACAGAAATTAGAACACTTTTTGTAAGATACTCAGATAGAACAAGCAGATGCACAAAAGAAAAAGTCAGAGAAAGCATTTTTTAAAATGTAATACAAATCATGAAGGCATATCTTTCAGCTCATAGGTAGAAGAGAACAAATTACCCTTTCACTGTCTTCAACACACGTTCCTTGTCAGACAAAGTTCCTCTTCGAACTGACCATGGAACTTCTGCCTTAACAAGGGCAGGAGCAGGCCCTACCTGGTTTTGTGCAAAAGGTTAGGATAAGAAAAAAGAACTATTGAAACAAACAAAATCTTCCAACATACATTGGTGCCATTTGAACCCCATCAAACAACCATAAGCATCCTAAAATGACTTTTGATAAGACAATTAAACATACCAGCCAATGATTCCTTATTGAGTATGTATAGAAATCAAGAACCAATTATCAAACAATTAGAAACACAAAGTACTCGATATCCAATAATTAGAATTACAAATAATGTCTTAAGTAGAACTTCTTTGGTGGTATTTACTGCACAGGTCAAGGAATCAGGAAGAGTAAACAAATTTACTCTGTAGTATAGCATGCATAAACATAGTATCGTAAGAGACAAGAGACCATGTATATCCTTTACACAATCTGATAATAACTTATTACCACTTGGTTACCAGAAATTTGCGCCCTTCCAAACTGGGAATTTTGCTGGTTATTCAATTCCTTTTTATCTTCCTCAGAAGCAGGCAACTGTGCAGATCGACCGCGCCAATCGCGATTATCTGGCTCAGAATAACGAGCTTGGGGTTGAGGTTGCAGCTAAATAAAATTGAAGTCAGTGTTAGAAGTCCTAAAACATATAAAGAAGGGAAAATTATATATGACCTATAGAATCATAGGATGAAAGAAGAATTTGAAAAAATCCAATCACATGGACTCAACAGTTGTAAATGTGAAAGTTGATATTCACAAGTTTACTGTCCAGATAAATAAAACATTTACTCTTTTTTTTTTTTTTGGATGAAAAAATAAAACATTTACATGGCAGAAGAGAATAGTAATTAAACTCACATTGGCATCTGCACGACCCCAAGTAGGATCCTCTATAACAAACTCAGTATCTATTTCTTGTTTAATCTTCAAAATTTCCTCAGGGATAGTAGTAGCCTATACAAGAAGTAAGATCATCATATAACGCTATCAGCCACACTTTCCAGGAAATATACATACTAAGAAATATTCTACTTCTCTTGCTTGTGCTTCATAACCATATTAAAAAACAACAGAAGCTATTAAGAAAATTGATCACGATAAGTACCTCCCTGAGCTGCAAAAGTTGATCTCTAGTATATCGAACACGCTCACGACCTTCAAACCGCAAGTCACCAGTCTATTACAAGAACACATTTGAAAGAGTAAAAACATATAAGTTGTAATCATCAGTAAATTAACTATATACCTCAAAACATAAATAAGCAAGCCCACACAAAAAAGGAGATGTGTTATTAACGAAGAGTGAGGATGGCATGCATGACCGACCATACCAAAATTAGAGATTGAACCTAGAAAGCTAAGACACAAATACAACCATAATAGATCACATGTGTTGAAAAATGAAGACATATCAAATTAGAACACATGTATCAATTAGAAAATCACAATCAACAGACAGAAGCCAAAATTATACTTAAGAAGCTTAACATGTAATGTCGGTTCTTTATGGGCATTGCGGACTCATTGCATGCCCACCTAAATCCAACATATAACTCTTCGTCCATATTTACAGCTGGTACACATTCTTGAGAGCCCTGCCAAGAATTAGGACGTTTAAATCTACCAATATCAAATTCACCATATTTGGACGATCAAATCTTTTTCTAGGAAACTCAAAGTTTTGGTTTTTGAGGATTTCAAGGAATAATGTGAATGAAGATCCAATTTGTACAATGATAACGTTCATTTATCAGAAAAAGTAAAACTCTTTAGCAATTACGCTCAATATGTCCAGGCAACAACCTTATAATACAACACCGAAGCCATTCCAAACAAAAATATATATAATACAAAACCCGATATCCACTCAAGGAAGAAAAAAAATGAGAAAAATATTGTTTTGAACTAACTAAACATCCAGAGAACCAGATCTGTAGAACAAGCAAATACATTCATTAATAAGCTTCTGCAATCATACATACATACATACAAATATACATATCTGTATATGTTTGGAGCTAGGGTTAGGAGGGACCTTGAAGGCTGGAGCGAGGCCGGCATGGGACTGGAGAGCCTGAGCCTCTGAAGAAGAAGAATCAAAGCGGGGTGCGAGGAATCTGGGGGCACGGAGGCCACCGGCGCCTCCAGGTCTCAAGCTTATCACCGTCGGATCCGCCATCATAACTTGGCGCCGTTGATTTTTTAGGAAAAGATAAGGGGAAGAGATTGCAGCCGTCCGATTGGGTAAAGAGAGAAAGGGGCGTTTGGTATCGTGGATAGGGTTAGGTTGTGTTTGCAGATAGAGACAGAGGCTCTCTCTCTCTCTCTCTCTTTTTCTCTATATGTATAGGCGTGCAATCTCCTCGCAGCCGCTGCAGAGAGAAGAGACGATAGAAACGCAAGCCCTATTTAAATTAAAATTGAGAGAAACCTTCCGGTTGTCGTTTTAACTCTTAAATTTCCTGAAACGCTTAGGAACCGAGGTAATATAATTTCTGACTGAAAAAAATATATATAATTCATAACTTAAATATGTAAAAATTAAAAATTAAAAAACTTTTTAAAATTTATTTACAAAATAATCAAAAGGAAAAATAAAATCTACTCTTATTTTGTTAAACATATCTTTCTTTCTTTGGTTAAAAAACTTTTATTCGGTTTAAACCTCATCTTGGTAAAATTAAAAAATTCCAAAATAACTTTCTTTCTTTATTTTGTTTTTTTTTCTTTCGTATTTTGGTCAGACGTGTTTCCATAATTGAGTCATTGCAATTACTTTCCAACTTTTCCTTTCCCTTTATAGAAAGAAACGTGCATCCATTTTCATTTTATATATGTATATATAATGCTACACTTACCACATTTTTATCTCATATTTATATATCACATGATGTGGCATGTTCATATCATATGTCACATCAATTAAATGAATGAAGTGTATTTTAATAAAAAAAAATTAGAAAAACAGAAATTATTATTTTACATGATGTGGTGTGTACACATCAGCTGTTAAATAATGTGGTATACAAATGTGGTAAGACTAGTATTAATACAATTCATATTTAAACATCTAAATAATATTTTAGCCTTATTTAATTACTTTAATTAATTATATTATTATTTTGTTTGTGGAATTTATTTTTCTTTGGGACAATATAGATAATTACTTAACATTTTTAAATAAGTGATATCTTAGTCTTATTTAATTAATGTAATAAATAATTAGTTTTTAGTTATGATTTCTTGTGTGAATAATTTAATTAATTTCATAAATTACTTAATAAATAGCAATGAATTATTTTGCAGTTTTAATTTTTAAAAAAATTCCAAAATTATTTTTAAAATTGTTTCAATTATTTAAAAATCCAATAAAATTCGTTTAAGTACTCCAAAAATAAAAAAAAAGTATTCCAATAATGGATTTTACCTTCCAAACCATAAATTCAATGTCGAACCAAAAACTTTACCTTCCGAACTTGTTTCAAATCCATTTTCAAGCATCAAACTCTAACCATAAGCCTATTCTAGGGCATTTATAACTTGATTATGCTTGGATACTCACGTAACTCAACCTTAAATTTTACTAGAGGTGGTTCTTGGGTTGTGCAAGGTGAGCACAAGCATAGGGCCCCACAAATATTATATTGGGGAGATTTGGAAAAACATAAATGGGAGAGAAATTTTGTAAAATAAACAAAAATAGACCAAATTACCCTTATTTATTTTTGGATTTCCTAAGGAATCCTTTACATTTGCATGTCTTTGATTTGAAAGTTGATAGGTTTTTTTGTCTTTTTCTAAAAAGCTTTGGCTTTTTCCAAAAGTGAATTTTATTTTTTTGGGCTAAAACCTAAATTTACTTATTATATTGTTGTATTAAATATTATTATATTGAGGTTATAGTTATTTTATAATTTATAATAATCAGATTGAGGTTAGTATAATATACTACATAAAATTTGCCATTAACTTTGCAGACCAAAAAATTTATATTCCATACTAGACACATTTAAAAAAACAAAAACAAAAACTTTGCATACATAATATATTAATGTAATATATAACATAGCCAAACCCTTATATAGCATACAAGTTTATTTTTCTTTTCCCCCAACTGTCATACAAGTTTAAGTGGCGGAGCCACTTAAGGACCAGTGTGGTCTTGGGGCCCGCCCCCCCTCCCCCCTCTCTAAAAGAAAAATTTCTCTAGAATTTGACTATTTATTCTCTTATTCTCCATATAATATATTATCAAGTATCAATTTATTTTTTTTTGGCCAAATTATCAAGTTTCAATTGGGTTGGCTCACTTAATTAAGATTGTTAATCTTCTCTTATTTTTTATTGTTTTCTCTTTGCCTATAGGATTTGGGAAATTTTGAATTATTATGTATTGAGTTCAATAGATCTTTCAACTAATTTGTAGCTTACCAAAAGAAAAAAAGTGTAAAGAGTTCATCACATATGTATTATGTATGATGTTTTGGCCTTTTTGGTTACTTTTGGAATGTATTGTGAGTTCAATTTTTTTTTAATATATATATAAATATTTTTGTAAGAGGGCCCCTCATAGGGATGGCAAAAATCCCTGCTAGGGCGGGTCCCCGACCTTATCTAGGAGAGATTTCGAGGCCAACGGGTATTAAGTATGAGGATCCCCGAACTTGAAAAATCCCTGATGGGTGTAGGGAGGGGATGGTATTGGCATCCCCATCCCAAAACCCGACCTGAAAATATATATATTTGTATTTAAATAAATAAATAAAATATTTATGTTTAACCTTAAGTTAACCTCCCTCTCCTAATTCTTCATAATCTTCTCTGTAATTTCATATTGATGTGATTTTGAATAGTTGAGTCGAACTTTATAGTTAATTTGGATGTGTTGAATGATAATTTTATATGAAACTTAATGTTCAAATTTATGATAAATATTTTTTATGCAAAAAAAAAAAAAAAAAAAAAGATCTCTTCCTTTTTTTCCTTGTTTTATGCTTATCTCTTCAGCTGAACTGGGCTGGTTTTCAAGTATACTTAACCCAACCACAGAGAGAGAGAGAGAGAGAGAGAGAGAGAGAGAGATGGAAACAGGGATGATATTATCATACCCGGCCCTTACTAGACCCACTGCCATCCCTAGCCCCTCACATATGAAATCCTCGCTCCATCACTGCACATAGCATTCTTTTGCAGGTTTCACGAATCAAGCTCAATTATCTCTCTCAAATTCTTGGAGTTTTCACTCCCTTTTTTTCTAAATGATAATTGAAGAAAATTCCCAAATCAATAAGTCCATCCTCATATGACCAAGACAAATTTAGATAATTAATGATGTAATATTATAGTTTAAATTAGGATAGTATAGTTATTGATCCAGGAAAATTCATTAAGTAATTATCAGAGGATTTTTATTTAATGTGATTGGCTTTTGGTGAGTTTTAATTGTAAATTTGCTATCAATGATTCAATATATATGGTCCCAATTCTAATTATTTTGTTAAAGATTTTGTTTTAAGAGGTTCCATTACTCATTTTGCATAGTGCTTTTAAAATTTCAGAGTCGCCTCTAGGTTTTACGATTAGATTTTTGATTTCAGAGATTCGTACGATGTAATCAAACTTAACCCTAATTAGTTGAGTACGTCTTTAGATAGATTTTAACAAGTGGTTTGTTGTCGTAATCTTGATAAAATTTCGTTGAAAAAGATCTATCGTGACATATATTCTCCCCGCTCGTTAAAGTTTGTCGGAATACAAAAAGTTTGACAAGGTAGGCATATCCCGAGATTGAGATCGAAACCTTAATTGTAAAGCCCTATTAAACAAACAAGAAAAAAGCAAACAAAACACAAACTTAACCCTGATCTTAAAAAAAAAAAACAAAAAAAAAAAAACACGAACACCACGTGTGAGCACACCCTCCACAAGAGAGCTTCTCTGTATACGGAGTCCAGAGATTTCAACATACTCAACATTCAGCCCAACCAGCTATTTATTTGGAAGAGCTCGTCAACTACCAATTCCAAATTTCCAACCGAGCCCCAACCAGACAAATATGGCTTCCATGCCTTTCTCTGCAACTTTTTCAACCCCTCTACACGGTAATTCTCAAACAAAAACAACAAGAAGCTCAAATTCTTCAGCTTCATGCCCTTCCATGGCTTTCTGGACCCCCTCCGTCAAATCTTCACTTGGGTCATCTAAATCAGCAATTTTCCAGAACGGGTTCTCTTTGAAATCACCGAGTTTTAATGGGGTTTTCTTCAAAGCTCGGTCTTTGGGTGTTTATGCAAGAGCAGCTACAGAGAAAACTCTTTATGATTTCAGTGTCAAGGTATATCGTATATGTTCCTGAAAGAATTTACTTTTTTCTCCTTTTCCTTAATAGGCAGAATACCATTTGGATGTGACTGGGAAAAGAACCAAACTTGTAGCTCAATTTTTTCTGTGGATGACAAAAATTGGTATCAATTTGATATTTATGAAGTCAATAAGTTTTTTTTGATGTAGGATATTGACGGAAAGGATGTTCCTCTTAGCAAATTCAAGGGGAAGGTTCTTCTGATTGTGAACGTGGCTTCAAAATGGTATTGAGAAGCCCTTTGGATATTTGCCTCTGAGCTGAACTTTTGTAATATATTTGTCAAATTGAATTTTACGAAAGGCCTCTGTGGAAGTTTGAGATGCTTGTGAATTAATAAAAAATACTTGTTTGTATATCAGTGGATTGACTTCTTCAAATTACTCAGAACTGTCACACTTGTATGAAAAGTACAAAACTCAAGGTATGCTCCATCTCGGGAAATTCCTATTGATTCTTTTCAATAATAGTTTTTTCTCCACAAAAATGTGCATTAGATTGAATTTATACATTCTGAAATCCTTTGGATAGTCCTGCCAATTACATCCATAAAGACAGTGCTTTTTTCTTGTTACACAAGTCACCTTCTTTTTGGTTGGTCAGGGTAAACATTAGAGTCAGGTGGTAATAGTTGCTGTGTATGTAGGATTTGAGATTCTAGCTTTCCCTTGCAATCAGTTTGGGGGCCAAGAGCCTGGATCAAACCCGGAAATCAAGCAGTTTGCTTGTACAAGGTTTAAAGCTGAATTCCCTATTTTTGACAAGGTGCGAGGTTCAGCTACATGTCTTCCATCCATTACTTTATTTTTTCTTTTCATATATTTTTTTACGGAGATGGTTGTTTCAAGTACTAAAAGTGCATAACAGGTTGATGTCAACGGTCCCAGCACAGCTCCGGTTTACCAGTTTCTGAAATCAAGTGCAGGAGGTTTTCTAGGTGACCTTGTCAAGTGGAATTTTGAGAAGTTTTTGTTGGACAAGAATGGTAAAGTTGTTGAGAGATACCCACCAACAACATCACCTTTTCAAATTGAGGTATGCTTTTC